AAATAATATGTTCTAATTAAAAGGATATTTTTGGCAATTTATTGCTAGAAAAAAAATTATGTTTTTCGTTGAAATCCTAGCAATAATTGGCCGAAAATTTGGCTGAAAATTTGGACGGCATGCATGAGCAAATGTGATACAAATTATATAGTCATGCACCTAATTTAAAAATATGAATAGTCAATGACCAAATGTGATATAAATTACATAGTCATGCACCTAAGTTGAAAATATTAATAGTCAATGATCAAATTTGCCAAAGACCTTGTGGTCGAGCGGCATAACTGTGACTCTCCCAAATAGGAGGTCACGAGTTTGAATCCCAATTGGGGCATTGACTCTTTGTACTTCAGTAGGTTAAAAAAGTATGTATGGACATTATATTGTAACAGAGTCAATGAAAAAGGATCAAATTTGATACATTTATAATACTCAAAGATCAAGAGTGGATTTGTTCCTATATAGAATTATTTTCTTATAAAGTCTTATATTTGGTATCATTCTCAGTTTCTCACGAGTACAGTAAGGAATGTCAGTGTATACTGTATAATTACCAAACAAAGAAATTTTTAATTTTTTTTAAAGAAATGAAAACATATAATACATTAAAAAAAAAAAATTACGAGTTGGAGCAAACACAGCCTCATGTTTGGAACCTAAGCTAAGAGATCAGACAATGAATCATTATTATTATGTAACAAAATTGAGTTATCAGACACGAAAATAAGGTTGCTTTTATCATTAGTGGAGGTATTTATAATGTATGTGCAAAAAGACTTAAAGAGAGGATTACAAGCTATAGACGCAACAACACATTTTGGGACATTTTGCACGACACTTATGGAAAAAGAAAAATGACATCCTAGTCAACATCAGTACGTACCTAAAATAATAATGTTGTTTAATAATTTCGTATGCTAATGTCACTCTCATGCTTTATGACGCGACTAATAAGGGCTTGGCCCACATCCACATTTAACATATGGCCCTACCCTTGATAAATCTTAAGCATTCCTATTGGTTGAAAATATTTGATTTTCATTTAGTTTTTAACTTAGCAAAGAATTTACAATTATTACTCAAATGTGTGTTTTACATAAAGTTTATCTTATGAGGTACGCTTTAAGTAAATTTTGTCTTGTGTACAAATAAACAAACACTGATTACTTGAATTAAGTGAAATATCATAATTGATTATCGCGTAAAGAAAATTTTTATTTTCGCAATCAAGGATGAAATGTCATATCTACAAAATAAAATGAAAACAAATTAAAGTTAAAATAATTTGGTTGGTTGATTTCTATCCTTTTCTACAAAATAAAATGAAAACAAAGTTAAAATAATGAGAAAAAAAATTCTTTTTTTACTGACGTGTAACGGTGGAGCAATCATAATCAAATGAGCTCATTCGATTTTGAACAATTTTCATATTTTCACCCTCGCACAATATCTAAAGATTAAAAAAAAAAACAAAAAAAAAACACACACACAGAGGAAAATGACGAAGTGTAGTTTAAAGGGGTAGAATTTCCGCCACGTGTTTAATTTTACTGAAAAAAAAAAAGAGAAAATAAAGGAATCAAAATTACAGTTCATTTTTTTGGATGAATCAAAGTGTGTCATGACAACGATCAACGGAGAGTGAAAAATGAAATAATAACAGGGCGTTTGGTTGGAGTGATTTTAAATTCCCTTCCCACTTAATTCCCATCTAATTCCAAAGACCATTAAATTCCGTAGTTTGGTTGGAGGGAATTGCAATTCCATGGAATTGCAATTCCCCCATTTTCATGGAATTAAAATCCCATGCCCCCCTGGTATTTTAATTCCTGGGAAAAAAAGATAGTGATGAGTCAAAATTACCCCTTTCTTTTTTAACCTAAAATTAATGTCTAACAACAATAATGGATATTTTTGACTTTATACTACTTATTCCTTTTTAATTCCCATGTATACCAAACATTGGAATTGAAATTCCCAGTAATTTTATTCCTATCAACCAAACACTGGAATTTAAATTCCCACTTTATTCCCAGTAAATCAACTCCCATGAAATTACAATTCATTTCCCACATAATTCCCTTCCTCCAACCAAACGCCCTGTAAGTGAAAGTATGTATAATATTGCTCTAAATGAGAGTTATTGCTACTTATAGTCCCCAATTATTATTCATTTTTTCATATTAATTTTGTCACATTTGGTGCACAAGTATACTTTTATTGTCATATTTGTTTTGTCGGTCAATTCCCCAACAATAATTTATTATTATTATTTTTTGAATGTCAACAATAATTTATTTAAAATGTAAATTTTCTCTTATTTAGAGTTGCTATAAGGACAAATTTTAGTAATAATGTTGTATATTTAGATTTGAATGAATGACTTTTCTTAATAGCAGTCTCACATGAGAAAAAATCAACATATTTTAGCAAATAGTTGTCGAAGATTTTGTCCCCAGGACTAAATATGAAAACAAAAAAACACTTATATTTCAAATATAATAAAATTAATAGCTGAAAATTAAATGTGAAAAGTAAATAATAATTGAATGACAAAAATGAGGATAACTCTACTCTAAAATATATAATCTAAAAATGAAAGGCATGGCTTTCTTATAAAAACTCGATTGGGCCTTTCAATCCCAACTTTAAAGCAATGACAATAAAGACTTCCAATAATAAATAAAAATTAAAGTAGAGAGGTTAATGTTTGATTACGTGTATTTTTTGATTTACCCAAAAAAAAAAGAGTAAAAAATACAAAATTTATTACTAGATAAAAGATTTCAAAATAACGACCAGTCCTATTAAAAAATATAATATAATTTAATTTAATTTTATAACTATATATAACTAATATAATTTTATGAATTGGTCAATAGTGAATCCAACTTAAATTGAGTGAGTCTTTTAAGGAGCGTTATGTTGTGCATCAGTGTGCACTATGTATGGTGCACACAGATGCAAAAACGACGTCGACTTAAAAAAAAAAATCTATAACTTCATAAGTATACATCCAGAATTGTATAACTACACATCTATAACTTCATAATCATACATCCAGAATTGCATAAGTATACATCATAACTTCATAACTATAAATCCAGAATTGCATGCATAAGTACATATTTATAACTTCATAACTATACTCTATACATCCAGAGCTGCATAACTACACATCCATAAATTCATAACTATAAATCCAGAATTGCATAACTACACATCCATAACTTCATAACTATACATCTAGAATTGCATAACTATAGATCCAAAATTGCATAACTATACATCCATAACTTCATAACTATAAATCCAGAATTGCATAACTACACCATGCATAATTACACATCCATAACTTCATAATTATAAATCCAGAATTGCATAACTACACCATGCATAATTACACATCCATAACTTCATAACTATAAATCCAGAATTACATAACTACACATCCATAATTTCATAACTAAAAATTCAGAATAAATGCACTAAAAATCTAGAATGAGTGAATAACATAATGCTATTATTGAGAATCGGAACTGAATTTTATTTATTTTTAAATGAGACGCACGTTTTCAGTCAAAACGATATCGTTTTTACATCCGTGTGCACCATGTGTACCATATATGGTGCACCATAAATGGTGCACATGAATGCACAACATAATTTGCGGTCTTTTAAATATTCAAATAACCCATCAAGTGTGGGTATTCACTCGAACTTGTCCCACGTGGATTGGACTTTTTGGGTGATAACGTAGGGGTGGTGGGTTTTGGGTCTAAAAAATTAAATTCATATCGAGTAAATGTAGCAAATTATTATGCGGATCATGGTCTAAACTGTGTGAACCACAGCAAAAAGTATATTATTTGTGTATTGAATGTATATTATATAAAATAATGTATTTTCAGTACTCAAATAATATATTTTTTCTTAATATAATATACATTTTTAATATATTAAAAGTACATTATTTGTATTTTATTTGATAGTATGATCCACACAATAATGATTAAGTGTTGCTTTATACACAAAACCGAACTCACCTGATCTACTACATTATGTGTGTGTAGTTTCTAGATACCATACAAAATTGCATATATCCTCGCAAACACGTAATCAGTCAACCTTTCAAACCATAATTTTTTCATGCACACACAAATGATCTAATTCACACATTTCATCATCCTGAATTTTTTTTCATATTCACGTTTCTGATTTATTACGTTATAGTCCGTGTTGTTTAAGGATTAAGTAACGGATGTGTGTTGCAGTGTCTAATCTATATGACGACACAAAAAAGAAGGTGCACACGACAGCCAAAGTCTCCTTACACTAACAATTTCTCCACAAAGCTAATTAAGATCTGATCTCAGCTCCTTCCTTTCCTTTCTGCCATGCACTCCACTTAATTTCCACCACCCCTTTCATGCATGCCTTTCTTACACCCTACGTAATAATTCTCTATATATACAAGGCTGAGTGACACTGTAATAGGCTCATCAGTCCGTTTGTGGGTGCGGATCAGAGATGACGGGGGATTGGGGGCCGGTGGTCATCGCCGTGGTGCTCTTCGTGCTGCTCACGCCGGGCCTGCTGTTTCAGTTTCCGGGACGAAATAGAGTGGTGGAGTTCGGCACCATGCAGATCAGTGGCCTCTCCGTTATCGTTCACTCCCTCATCTTCTTCGGCCTCATCACACTTTTCCTCTTTGTCGTTCATCTTCACATCTACACCGGCTAAAATCCAAATACTTTATGATCTGATGACTTTTCCTGTTATCCCGTTTTCACATTTCTGTTTACTTTTTTTCCTCATTACCAAGTATCTATTTGTATATAACAGTGCAAGGTTGGTTGTTTCTTGGTTTGATTATGATACATGAATCCATTCTGCTATACTACAATATAATGAAAATAATGAAAATTTCTCTCTGTGTTCGTCGATTTGCACCTTAGGAAAATGTTACTACAAATTAATCAACTAGCATTGCTGGGATAGATGATGAACAGTACACGCAATGAGTTATATATAGGAGTGCTTCGTTTTCATTCATGACATAATAATCAAACAGATGAAGTGGAGGAAAGAATTACATCTATGTTTCTGAGAGACAAACGCATAACAAGATTACAGAACAAGATGACAAAATATATATGTTTGTGGTAATGGCTAATCTGACATTCTTTCCCGCAGCTTCTTCGAGTGTAGAATTCGATCAAAAGATCAAAATAATAACTTTATGCCGTAGAAGTCCCTTGTAAAGTTTGCTATATATGTAGATACATATCCACAGCCCCTGCGTTAATCCAATTAGCTTTGCAGGAAGCACCGCCTACCCAAAACAAAAACATATCATGCTGTTTCATCCAAATGCTTGCTTCACATAAGCTTCCAGGCTGCAACCATCGTAGGATACAATATTAGCAAGGGAGTAGAGAATCGAGATGATGGCAAATCTCACAAAACCACAAACTTTACGCAACTTCAGAATCTACACAAATCATTTATATGAGAAACGCAATACATTTAGCCGCACACAACCTAATCCATCAACATCTTTCTAACAAACAACAAGCATTGGTAAGCTATGATCGAGTGCATATTTAAGTTACTAAGTAAAGAAAGAAACCACCAGAAGGGCCATGAAATCCAATTACCCAAAACTATAATAGTACAACACAAAACACAAGGATTAAAAGAAAAGTAGAAAACCATCATCTTTCACCCCAGTGGATGGGAAGCCCCTATCAATAATGCAGCTTGGTGCCCCGGGGCAGAAATAACAGAAAGCTAATATACCAAGAATTTCTCTTTTGCTACCCATGATTAAGTTATGACAACTTTTTAATTTCATTCTGCCAATTTCCTTATTTTCAAAAATGTGATTTTTAAGGAATATAACTACAAGAAGCTGCAACGGGAAAGCATACAATAGTCAAAAACGGAAGAGAAGAGCTTATACTCTCTTATATAGCAATTTCTACAGCCAAAATTGCAATACATGCACCTTACACACTTTCTTGGCACAACATGTCTTTACCTCTTGTGTAGTTTATAGTTTTAGTACTGTAACATCACACTATAACTTGGATATGGTATCAAAACTACAGTACCAAAACTAGAATCCAATCAAAAGTAAACTGCCATAATATGATTTAATGTGGCCCAGCAACCGAATCTGTTGTGGGACAGTAACAAATTCATTCAGAAAGGAAAGACTGTGCCATGGCTACCATGCTTGACTACTTGTTAATTATGCTCTATATGAATTGTTTGCAATGGCAGGCATTGCCATTTGTACAAATGAATCAACTTAAAGAGCACCAGATTAATATTACTCTCTACAAATTTGCATTAACATATACTCTGTATATATTACCTATAAGATCAGGACAGTGGGTTATTCAATTGATTTTCAGTTTTCACAATAAGAACTAATCTAATTTAGGAAAAGATATCGCAGAGAGGGAAAACAGGCACCCACAAAAAATATATTCCTTTGTGTGCAATATAAAGGTAAACAGAGCAATTAGAAATTCACAAATTTAATGAATAAAATTGTAACAAAAGCGGCTAAAAATCAAGAGAGATTCTTACAGTGAGCGTCTTTCCTTGACGAGGACGATAAATGGCAGAGAATGGTGCGTCCAAGCATGGACAAGCTCGCAACGACCCCGACGAAGTATAAAACCATGGCCAGGCCAAGCACCCAAGGCATCATCATGAATCCAATGAAGAAAGTCACCGATCCACACAGCATCAAGGCCAACGAAATCCCCAAAAGAAACGACGCAAATCCGGCTGGCGTTATCTGCTGCAGAATCGGCTGAATCCTCGCCGCTACCGCCGCCGACGGGCCCGGCACCACCGTATCATCCGCCGGAGACTCGTCGTTGAACTCAATCGGCGTCGGCGGGGATCGGATAATGTTCAGCACCATAGACGAGAGCTCGTGGAGAACCCTAGAATGCTGATCCTGCTGCCTTCGCATCATCTTCTCACTTTCTTTTTCCAATCCGCGAAACGAGATTCCGATAAAAGTTGTTAGCGAAAGGGAAAAAACGAACAATTATCAAAGAAATAGAAATATTGCGGAAATCGAGGCAAACGGATAAAATTTTTTCTCCAGGAGGATTGGATATTGATGTTTATCCTTTTGCAAAAAATCCCACGCACTGTTGCAGAATTCTTCGCCGAGAATTCTTTGTCTGTTTCTCTTCCTTATCAGAGAGAGAAACGATGAAGACGCGGCGGTGGTGTTCCGATCAAGATTCAAGAGAGAGAAAGAGAAGGATGTGAGAGAAATCCTCTGAAACAGAGCTCTATCTATATCTTTGCGAAAATGTCTGTGCAATTTTTACAAGACGGAATTTCTCCTTAAAAAATATATTATTTTCGGTTACACCCTTCACTTATACGTAATTCATCTCCCCACCCCTCAAGCTTATATATTTACTTATCCTTAGTGGTGCTTCAGTTATACATAATTCTTCTTCCAACCCCTCAGATTTTATAACTTGAACTCCTTTTGTCTAATTTTATCAATCATACTAACTATTCATTGGTTAAATTAATTCTTTCTTCTTTATTTATTTTCTTTAATATTTTTTTTTACTTATTTTTAAATTTAAGTTTTTGTGTTTAATAATTAAATGAATTGATTGAATTATATGGCCTATGATATTTAGTTTATTTGATTTATATAGGAGAGTAATGAACACTTGTGTTATAAAGTTGACTCAAAAGATGTTTTGCAATGTGATGTAGAAATAAAAACTTTTTGGGGTGAAACCAAAAGCAAATATAGAAATAGGGACTAAAGAGCCAAATGATAGGTTCCTATTCTTTTTTTTTTTGGAAAGAGGTTCCTAAATATTTATTTTAAAAATATGAATAAATATTTATTGCGTGCAGTTTGAGTATAATTTGGTTGCTTTATCCAGAAGAAGAAGATAAAGGATTGGAGGGAGATGGCGTTGGCGCATTGCCACGTCTTAAAGGCGAGTGCGCCTCACGCCCTAATTATTATAGGAAGAAAATTCAGTATGTGGGGCCAACTGACGTGGGCTCTTATCCACTCCATACTAGGGTGACCATACGTTAATATTTTCCCTATGCCGAGGCGCGTGGGATTTGTATTTTTATATTTGAAGTGACGTGTCAAGGTAATGATTTAAGTTTTTTTTTTTTTTTTTTTTTTTTTTTTTTTTTTTTTTTTAAATCTTATCAAACAAACTTCTTTGCTTTGTAGTGTTTTCAGATAATTCTAAACATATTTTAGGGGAGATAATTTTAAACATACTTTGTATAAATTTTTAGTCTTAACCAGCTAAAATCTATACTTGATCGACTTAAACTAAAATGAAAATACATAATTTTATGTAGACTTGAACATTTAAAAATTTGTGGTTATCGAGTCAATTATCCAATCAATTTAGCTAGGACTATCCCTGTAAAACTCAAATATATACTAGCTTTCAACAAAAATATGATTTTTATATATATATTAACAAATATTACATTTTTACTAATATTTGTTAAGGAATGAATAATACACAATGAAAATGCAATAGGCCCCATAGAAAAGTATTTTATTTTTTTAAAATATTACGTATTTGTGATTTGTCTCACATGAGACAATCTTACACATTTTTTAAAAAAAAAAAAAATTATACAATAATATTAATATAAATAATATTAAAATTTAAATTGTAAATAAATGAAGTACCAAACATAAAATAAGAAAATTAATAATAACTAAGTAAAACTTTACACTACCAATAAATTAATAGTGGTTATTTTACCTCTAGAATTATTGCACATTAGATTTTATAATTAAAAAAACACAGAGTCATATTTATTGGGAAATTTAAATATTTAATTAAATAAATTATTTTTAGAAAAACATATTAAGCATTAAAAGAAATGGGAATGGAAAATAAAAAAGTTTAATCAAGAATAATAAAGCTATATGGGTCAAACCTTATGGTGAGTCAAGTGCAAATCCTTGATTGAAAGAATACAAAAGTGTAAAAGCAAAATGTGGTGGGGACATAAAGTGCAGAAAATGAAAACGAAGTTATTAGTAAGGCACTAAGATGCATTAGTGGTCACTGTTCCACGAACAAAATAGGACCAAATTCAAATCACCAATAATAATTGGAATAGTCTTCTAATGTTACGTTTTTTAATATCTTTTTTTTTTTTTTTTAGTATCTGTTTATATCTACTGAAACACTGAATATCGAATTCCTGACCTCCCATTTGGAAGAGTAACTTCGTGCCACAAGACCACAAGGTCATTGATATCATTTAGTTTTAGACAAAAAAACATTAAAAACTCTTGTTTTACAAGATTAATTTCATTATTTAATCAGCACTCTTTAATTTCTACATATCCTTTAATTGAATCTATTTGCGTGAGACAAACAGTATTACTTCAAAAAGAAACTAAAATCTATATATCAAATTATTAACGGATTGAATCCTTAAAGATCAAAAGTATCATTTTTATAATAAAAATAAATTTTACAAATTAAATTAATAATGTTATGCATTTTTTTTTATTACAAGAGTAGGGGATACTCAAATTACTAAATACTTCCATTGAGACTTGAATCTATCACCTTCTACTCAGGGGAACAACCAGATACTATTGGACCACAAGGTACTTGGTAATTTTAATTAAATTTGTACAATGTAAAATGATTTTATCTAATTAGTAGATAATGAATCAATCAATTTATGAAGAATTGATAAATATGAACAATAATGACACGTTTACAAATTATATCACATTATTAGATAAAAATGTTGAAATAGTTCATTATAATTATTGAAGGATGTGACATTTTTGAAAAGTTATATGTAGACAAAAGTCTAGTTTGTAGCATTGCTAATTTGTCCATCACTGAAGGCAACTTGTAAATTTGCCTTGGTGCATATATTCAATTGTTATTTGACTTTTTGAACCCTATGTTATGTAGATACTTCTATTTTTAATAAATTTATGTGTAATTTAATTTTATTAAAAGTTTATTACAATTTTAATGAATTTTTAATTTTTCTTAAAATTGATCAATCACATTGTTAACAAATTATTATCTCCTTTAAGATAACACTTGTGTGTGACCGTCTCACGGGTCTCAATCCGTGAGACGGTCTCACACAAATTTTTGCCTTAATTTTAATATTGCTACATGTAACATGTTAAATACTAGCGAATATTAGGTTTGGTTGAGGAATCAGATTTGCAACCTTTAGGTATAAAAATTATATATATATATATATATATATATATATATATATATATATATATATATATTAAATAGTAATGATGTTGTCAAGTTTTTAACGGGTTTTTTTTTTGGTATATGTATATAGACACGTCTGTTGTTCTCTTAGAGAGAATGTCATATGACCGAACTTCAGTGATGGGTATTGATTCTTTGGTCGGCAACATATAGAGAAATTATAGAATAATTACTATTTTGTAATAGAGCTAATAGTACTCAAAAGATTGACAATTCTTTAAAAATGTCAAATTGATATCTTATGGTTATCAAGGGTTATTCTTAGGTACATTAATTTTAATGAAGGTCTCACTTTTTGTGACAATTTTAATTTAATTCCTTTCATTTATTTATACACTCTATTCATTCCAAGAAACCAACTCAAAGATTGAGATTACACACCTATCTAGCTTCCCTTGTGGTTGTCAATTTGTAGCAATGAAAGAAACTAATCATCATAGGTCACAAAACCGAGAGAGACACAGCCGTCAAGCATGACTCACGTGGATCGGAACTCGTAATAACAAATATTTTGGCGTCCTTAGAAATTCAAGTTGTTTACGTCAAATTAAGCCTCCATATATATATATATATATATATATATAGAATAATGCTCATATGTGGTCATGTTGTTAGATGTGGTCGTGCGGCAGAATTTTAAAATATACCAACAGTGTTAATAACATGCATCAACAGTATAAGGAAAACAAACCACAATGAAATGCAAAAAAAACATCAAAAAATACACAATAGACCCAAAACATACACCATATAACTCACTAACCCCAATTGTGTATTTCTGAACATTGTATGGTGTTTTTACTCACACCTAATGGTGCGTTGTTGGTGATGCATACCTAATTTGTGTGCGTTTTTTGTGGTGCATTTCCTGACGTTGATAGTATATATCTTACTTAAGTATTGGTGTATTCTGAAAATCGTCACATGACCACACGGGAAGGGGTCGCCACACCTGAGTGCGACCATATATATATATATATATATATATATATATATATATATATATATATATATATATATATATTAAATAAGCATATTTATTGCAACTAATTTTGTGCATACCAAACGCCCTGACTACCTAACGCCCTCTTATAAGAGAAATGTGCCGGGACTTTTCCGTGTACACCATCATATAGTGGTCGCGAATTTTCTTGTCATACAAAAAAATATACATTGTGACTTTAGCTGGCAAGGGAGGTAAACCAGCAAATCGAGAATGTGAACAGACAATTCTCATTAATAATCAAATTTAGAACATTATGATAACCGTTCAACGAACTTTGCTAGTTGTGATTTAAAGAGTTTATTTTTGTATTATAAAGACTTAAAACGAAAAGTGGAACCGAAAAATACAATTTTAATCCCTCAATTGTTCATTGCTAGCTATTTTAGTCTGTAACATTCTACTATGGCAATTACACCCTTAATTAACTCTTCAAAAAGTTGCATTTTCAACTCCTAGAACAACAAAACTATTAAACTCGATCTATTAAAATTTTACTTAGTACATGAATATTTTAAAATCTTATTATCTTTGATCTTTATAACATTTTCAGTTTTGATATTTCATCTGCAAAATAAAGATTTGACAACATTCCTTGCTAAATTTTCACATTTCAATTGTGGCACATCATCCCTATATATTTTTCCTACATGACCCTGCTAAAATCACGTTTTTTATTTTACTAATGAAATATGGAGACTAAACAATATTATAATTAAATAAGAAACATTAAAAAGTATTAAAATACCCATGTACTGAGTAAAATTTTAATAGAATTTAATGGCTTTGTTGCTCTAGGGGTTAAAATTACAATCTTTTGAACAATTAAGTATGTATATTGCAACGGTAAAAAGTTAAAGACTAAAACCGCTAGTAAAGAACAATTGATGAGGAACTAAAATTGCATCGAAGAAAATGGCAATTCAACATTGTAAATATTGGAAGAAAGCCACGATGACTACACCTCACACTTGTGAAGTGTGTAAGCAATAAAGAAAATTATATTTAATCTCGATTTCTGAAATAGTTTATCTTAACCATA